CTTCAGACAGAGTCCCTCTTGGCTTTGCACTGTCACGCAGCCAAGGCTACAGCCTGTAGCTGCATGAGGTGCATAGCTGAGATAAACAACCACTGGTGACACTCTAGGCCAGCTGAGGTAATAAATGAACATTGACCTCCATCACTATCTCAGATGAGTGGAAAATATTGGCTCAGTTGGCAACAAGTTTCCACGAGCTGACTTAGGATAACAGCCCATGCCCTGCCTTTTCTGTGTTTTCCATCAGATTTTTGAATAGCTTTTTGTTCCAGAAAACCTTTAAGCCACGTAACGTGCACAGAGCTCCAAGCCAGCCGAGCCAGAGCTCGGGTCAGGAATGCTCTGACCTTGATACAGGGCAGATAAGGTGGCTGGAGATTACTATTATTTGTTCCATGCCAAAACTAATCCTTCATGCTGTGCTTGCAAGGCAGGAACTCGGTGATAAGCAATGTTTACGTGAAGTGCAAAAGGCTTTAATGTGAGGGCACAAACGGTGATTGGCACCTTTGTCTGATCCAGCACAGATGAGCTCCAGTGAGCTGGGAGGAATCGCTGCAAGACAGCTTGCCAGGAGGGGCACGATGTGCTCTCTGATGCTGTGGAAAGCCCAGCACGTGGATTTCCTGTTGATACCTGCTCTGGCACTCGGCAGCTGCAAAGCCATCAGTCACAGGCAAACTGCCCCCAGCCTGCAAAACAGGAGGTTAAACAGGTGGAGAGCTCAGCGAGGAGACAGGTGCACATGCACAAAAAGGGGAAAAAACACGCCGGAGGGCAAGGAGGGGAGCTCTGTTTGCCTCCTGCCAGAAACCTGCATGTCTCTGGAAACCAAACCAAGCCACGAATTACTTTTCCATGCTGCAGTCTGATCTGCCTCTTTTCCTTTTTAGCCTCTCTTCCTCAAACCAGATACCAACTGCTGAAACACCAGCTTAGCCTAGACAAGCCTCCTGAGAAGTCACGTTGTCCCCCTGCCCTAAATGCCAAGCAGGACTGTGCAGAAGGGACACACATGCTCTGCTGATGTTCACCTGCTGCACGTATTGAGGTCTGCAAGCCAGGCAGTGGAAGAGTAAAGCCATTCAGAAGCAGCCAGACATAGGTGGAGGGGTAAAAAGGCAGCCCATATCAAGAGAGCTGCAAAATGGTGTACCAGACACTGCAATATCAATGTGAGTAGTCCCATACAAAGAGGCCTTTGAGATGAAAGAGCCAGGGTAAAGAATTACTCAAACCCGGACCAAAGTGCCTTTCCAATTCCCAGGCAGCCCTTTAGATATTAAAAAGGGATGGGGTTTGCCTACAGGCTCATGGATTAGATGAGAGTTTCACTACATGGATAAGTTCAAGGACTACCTGGCCATATGCTCATACCTGCTCTGTGTAAAGCATTCATGCTACAGCAGTTGCCTAAACTGGATTCTGTGCCTGCCTTTTCTAAAATCTGTCAAGGATGGGAACATTTCCTGCAGATCGGGGCTTTCTTCTCATTCTGAAACCACAGAAACACAAATGTGAGCTTCCTTGGCACCGTTTCTCGGTTTGCCTCGCAGGAGATGGAGTAACCAAAGCAAATGAATCAGGAGCAAGATGAGTAAGTACATATCTATCCAGTTGAAAGCCATCTTAGAAAGCTGTTGGAGGGCAAAAAAGTACATTCTCCTGTATTGAATCAGGACATTACAACTACAAAGTGTTCCAAGCTAAACACATCCAAAAACTGTTTGACTCATGTTTCACATTTAATTCTATATCTCCGAAAAAGTTTACAAAAGCAAAGCTCGTCTGGACTAAACAACTGAACTGAATGAGGCACGTGACATTAGCTCAGGCTTCTCTGGCCAGCTTTCTAAATGAAGTGTTTGGAAATAAGAGAAACACATAGATTTGGGAGTGGGATGGATAAGAGATTTAGTTTCGCCTTTTATAACAGAGTCCTGTGTAAATCCAAAGGAGCCTGCAAAGTTTCAACAAGACATGCATTAAAAGCAGCAGCAGCTCTGTCCACATATAATAGAATTATTAAAAGCAAGGCAAAAGAGAAAGATTCAGCTCATTGCTGGAGGGCTGCCCAAAAGCCCACAGCTGTGATGTAGTGTTTGGACTTGAATCGTGTTAACAGGGCAATATAAATCTGCAGAGAGCAAGACAAAGTCTAAAGAGAGTAGACCTAGCCAAGAAGCCCCAAAACCTGGTCAGATTCAAGTGGTAGGTAGTTCAAAAGGGAAGTACTCAAAAACCTATTTCTATATAGTATAACGCTGGCTGTGCTCATAGTTTATTCCGAAGGTCACACACACTTCACGGTACCAGGGGAGCAAAATTTGAGTAATCAAGAGAATGGCATAGCAAAGTGGACTATAAAGACTTCATTTCCCTCACAGGTTCTACAAGGGGCAGTTCAGCTATTGGCAGTGATGATGTTATTTCTAATGTAAATATTTCACTTTCAGCACAGCTGAACTGGGAGGGATTATAGCAAGTAATGAATGAACCT